GTGTCTTTCTACCATTTTTCCCCACAGAAATGCTGCACCTTCCATTAAGATGCAGCCCGTCTTGGCTGAAGAGCCGGTAGCTGACTGCGAAGTCAGCCCAGTTCTCCAGGAAACCAAATCCTTCTTTCTGACACCAGCTCCGGAGCCACTTGGTAGGCTCCCTCAACTCGCGCTGTCTGTCCGGAGTGGCTCGTGGCACCGGCAGTATCTCGGAGAATACTACCGTGGAGGTCCTTCATCCTAGCACCTAGGTCTCTGAATTTTTTTTTAGGACACTCCAATTACCTCCTATTTTGTCATTGGTGCCGATGTGCACCATGACAACGGGGTCGTGCCCAAACCCATCTAGTAATCTGTCAATTCGTTACGCAATGTGTCGAACACGGGCCCCCAGTAAGCAGCACACAGTTCGACGCTCACGGTTCCGATGACAGATTACCCTGTCAGTCCGCCTGATGATGGAATCTCCCACCACCAGGATCTGCCTCTCCTGACCCTCCATCCTGCTCCAATCCTCGCCGGAGCAGTCACTCCCCCTGCGGATGGAGGCTGCGTCCTGCTCCAGCAGTGTCCCCCCTGAACTAATATCCCCAACATCCTGCAACTTGGCATATTTATTAGGGTGAATGTTCTTGCTTAAAGCAGCGTTTCCTGGCGTACAACATCAGCATCTATTTATTTGTACTGGTGGCTGCACGTAACACCTATGGCTCCAAGGCACAGAGATCTGGCCAAATTTTACAGTACGTGGACCTCTGTGCCCATATGGATGAGCTCTTATTTTGTCACACTAACATAACATTATATAACTTTCTGTTAAAAAAAAATCGGGACAGGTATCCTTATCTGCATTATTTGGTAACATACAGTACTTTCATGACTACAGTGTCCATTATTTATGTATAAGAGCACAGATGTTTTTTAGTTAGCAATAACCATCCAGCCAACATTGTCATAATGTATTTGCATTGCAGTGCAACCTACAGTAACTTATTACATCCATAATCCTTCAGTTTATATGTAGTGAGAACAGTATACAGGACTAAATACAGTTTTCCTTTATGTACACTTTTTACTTTTAACATTTTGCTGTTGGTGTTTAGGGTTAGCCTTCATTATGGTATCATGTGCCTGAAAAGACTGAACTATGACAGGAAGGAGCTGGAGAGGAGGCGAGAGGAGAGCCAAAATCAAATTAAAGGTAAGAGAAGCACAAAGAAAACAGCTGGTTATGTATCAAGGCATATTTTGTGTATTTGTTTTTCATATTTTAGAATCCCTCGTATTTATTGGGATGTAACAATTCAGGGCTAGCCTCTGGAACACTCTTCCCTCTGCCCCCCCCCCCCCTTCTGACTGTTACCCAGCTTCCTACCTCTGGGTCCAGCTCCTCTATGTTACCACCTTTTCTAAGCTGGCCCCTACTAGCACCTGTTTCATCAGTGTGCTTTCTGAATTGGTGGCCTTGACTTCAAGGAGCTATTTCTGGCCATCCACAAGGAAAAAGTTGTGCTGAGGCCCTTTTTCTCCCTAAGGTGGTTTCTGCCTTCCACCTTAACCAGGACATTGTTTTACCTTCCTTGTAACCTGCACCAAAATATTTTTAAGAAATTTCCCTGCACTGTTTAGACATGGTTTGGGCAGTTAGGGTTTACTCCTCTGCAACAACTTCTATTCGTCAGTCTGACTTTCTGTTGGACAACCAGCTTCTTGCTCCACTATTGTTGGATTGTTGATTTATTTGTTGCACTATCACTAAGGCCTACACTAATTTCCCCCGTCTTCTTGGTTAAGGCACACTCTACTAGAAGCTTTTGTGCTTCTTGGACCTTTAGGCATTAGGCTTTAGCATCCCAGATTTGTAAGGCTGCCACCTCCTCCATAGTTCACATTTTTGTCAAGTTCTAACAGGTGAATGCTCAGACCTATCTTGATGCCAGTTTTAGTTGTAAGGTCCTTCAGGCAGCCCCTGACTTATGGGTACGTCTATGTTTCTAGTTCCCTGTGATTGTTGTTGTTCTTCTTGGGCCGGTTACTTGCTCCTCTGTTGGACTGCTTTTGGAAATACCAGTGGTTAAAGAATGTAATGCCATGTGGTGTATGTATGATCAAGAAAACAGAAATCTTGTCTTACCTGTAAAATCTGTTTATTGCAGTACATCACCGGACATAGGACCCTCCCCTCTGTTTTTTTTGTACTGCTTGCTACAAAACTGCGCAGGCTGTGAGTTGGAGGCATTATGTAGGGCTTTCCTGCAGCTTTGATTGATTTGCCAGTGGTCAATAATGTGAATGTAGCTGCATAACCCAGTGGTTAAAGAATTTAACTACCTGCATCTTGTGAGATACTTCAAGAAATGTATTTTACAGGTAAGACAAAAACCCTGTTTTTCCAGTTTTGGATAGAGTGAGTAAGAAATTAGAACCCCTGTCCAGTTTGTGCTGCTAACAAGGGCCGAGTTATAGAGATTTTGCCCACTTCCTCTTCTGCTGACAAAGGTTTCACCAGCCAGGAGGGAAAATCTGTAACAGGGACACATACAGAAATAAAAAAAGGACTGAGGTTCTAGTCTTTCCATACTCTTCTAAAGAAAATCTTATTTATTTCTGTCTGTGTGTTGCTGTTGTAGAGTTCCTCTCATATACTGTCTAATGAAACATTGGCAACCGGACAAGAAGTGGGAAACATATTTTCTAACTAAGCCCTGTATAGATAAAAACATGATTGGGGTTTAACATGTCACTCTATTTAAAAATTGAGAAAAACTGTTTTGGCTGCACATATACTTTTTTTTCTGAAAATATAGCTTTGATAACAGCGGTTGCATTTTTATGTTGCACAATATTTGTGAAACTGCTATTTTATTCTAGAGGTTCTTTGCGTTCAGATAATATGTAATATTTAAAAACACAGAGTACACTGGCTACGTGAAGTGTTAATGCTGTTTATTCAAATTAAATAATTTGAGCTACATATACACATGCTGAAATACTGGCCAATGGGAGTTGTGGAGCTGCAGTCAGACATGTCCGCTTTCTTAGGTGAATGATAAACACAAATGTAGATGTGAGTGTAACAGGGCCGGCCCACTGCATAGACAGAACCACTTCCTGTTGATAGTGGGTTGCCAAGCAACCAGTAAACAACCCAGAGCAGACTACACGTATCTGATCTCTTTCAGACTGAGTGGGATGCCAGAACACAATAGAATTGAATTGCAGCAGATAATAGCAATAGATATTACAAAACCTGATTTTGTACATAATTAGATTTGGTGCAGTAGACATCAGCAAAAATTACACTGAACTTAACTGCTGCATCTTTGCAGTGGGCCAGCTCCATTACACTCTGACGGACTTATGTAATGTACACTTGTGTTAAGTGGTCACCTGAGAAACCCGACGTGGCTGGCTGCAGCTCCCATTGGCCAGTTCTGTGGCCGTGCAGCCCGGATAACCAGATTGTCACCCAGAACTATTGGATGGGCACAACATTTTGATGGGATTCACATGAGAGTAGGGAGGTTTCGTATAGTGCTGCTAATTGTTATGACCACATGCAGTGCTGGGATATAAGCAGCATGGAGCAGATGTCAGGTAGGCTCAGATGAAAGGGGTTGGTGCCCTAAAAATAAGTCAGCCATTTTTAATATCAGCTGCTCATACCCAATTGTTGGATACTGGTGGTAGTCACTGGTGGTCCATCCTTTTTATTCATGTGGCTTGGATAATAATTCTTGTAAGTTAATTGATCTTTTATGTTTGTTAGTAGTATTTGTATTTTAATATGAATAAACAGCTATGCATACTGCACAAAACCAGTTCTCTGTCTTTTTCTGCTTATGTATTGTACACGGTTACCCTATCTGTCACAAGAGCTACTGATCTCTCTGTACATATTTGGAAGATACACCTTGGGGGGGGGGAGTTTAATGTAAAAATAACATGCATTTTATCATGGTGAGAAAACATTGTCCTGCAGCGAAAGGGTTAAAGCCAGTCTCCAGGCAAAAATAAAAACCTCTCTCTCCCACCCCCACTAAGCCTTTTCTGACTTTTGTAATACGTTGTGCAGCAGGGATATACTCACCTAAGTTTGCCATCCAGGTCCCACACTTGTCCCCTTTTGCTGACGACATTGCTGCAGACCGTCTTCTGGATCCTGAGAGGACCACGCCGCTAGACAGTCAATAGGAAATGTCCATGTCATGCGGGCATTGACGTGGGCACCTGAAAACCTATTGTTTTGCCCTAAATCAGCAAAGCACAGTAGTTCAAGTAATTCTAGAGCTTTTGTTAAGGGTTGGCTATAACATAAAAAGCTAAAGATTAGGTGCAGATCAAACTGCTTTGTGAGAGACAAATAAGATGCTTGTAGAAGCATGAGATGTACCTATACAGCACATGATCTGCACTCAGATACTCTGTTCTGCTTCTGCTATAACGATCCCTGCCCATGTCTTCTTGCTGTAGACATGTAGACCGGTGAACCCTTTACTAGCCATCATTCTCCGTAAGCCAGTCTGAGGCAGACCCACCGATCTACAGAAGCAAGACAAGGAATGTTTATAGCATTAGTAGTGGGGAGGAGGGGGGTCTGAGAATGACATTTCATTCAACTACAGACATATTTTATCTTTTGTAAGACAGCCTACACCTAACTTTTTCCTTTTAAATATACAGCTACTCTTTACATTCATAATGGGGTAATACAAGCATTTGTAGTTTGTACATAACAATAGTAATATACCTATACATAGGGCTTTTAATAATAGCTGTGCTGATGTCAGGAATGGCAGTAGGCCCTGAGATCTTGGTCTCAATATCTGGGTATTTACATTATGGAGAATGCTATGGAAATAATTTCCATCATTCTAGCTGGTAGAAAAGTATTTCTGTTTTGCAGATGTTATTGTTTGAGTAATTTAAAATGTATCAATTTTATCATTTTAAAAAACATTATCAATGTGTCACAAAACAAAATGACAGTATGAGAATGTTCTCTGATGGGAACAGTCATGCTTGGACTTATGTGCCACACACTAGTTCAGAGTCAAGTAAAGCTGAACCTTTTCACAAGTCACTGCCCCAGAAATGGTTCTCTGAATTAGGGAATGTAATCTACAATAATATCTTCTCCTGTGTTCTCCTGCAGATGTCATGGTTTGGTCTAATGAACGGGTTATGTGCTGGGTTCAGTCTATAGGACTAAAGGAATATGCCAATAACTTGCACGAGAGTGGAGTACATGGATCCCTTATTGCGTTAGATGATACTTTTGACTTTAATGATCTAGCGTTGCTGCTACAGATTCCAACTCAGAACACACAGGTCAGTGTTTTAGACTTGCAACATTTGACTGGCGTGTGGAAGTCAGAGCAATCATAAAAATATATATGGAAGTTTTATTGCATTGCTAGAAAAAAATCTCAACCAGCCAGATTCAAGGTTTTATTTTTCTATTGTCAGACCAGGTGTGAATCTGAACGGTTGTTAAGGGGAAGTAAATATGGTAATAAGCACCTGTTACATTGTTAACATTATTGTGACACAGTTGACCAATACACTACAGGGTGTCTGCAATAAAGTACTGCATATGTAAACCTAATCACTAAAATCTCATAAATGTTTTAATAAGGTAAATGTTTTAATAATTTTAAAAGTAATTTTTCATATTTTTAGTATTTTTTTTAATATGCAACTTTCTTTAAAATAATGCCTTGTGACTCAGTTATGTATTATGAATGTCCTTTTTCAAACACATTGGAGGAAATTTACCAAAACTGGAGCAGGGAAAATCTGGAGCAGTTGTCCATGGCAACCAATCAGCATCTCTCTTCAGTTTGCTCATGTAAGATTTAAAAATGAGACAGAGAAGCTGATTGGTTGCAGTGCTTTAAATTTTGTCTGCTCCAGTTTTCATAAATTCCTCCCATTCTATTATAGGGGGACAATGCTGTGTCCCAGCCTCCCAGTTGTGCTTTTGCATTGCCATTCACAGTGGCCATTACATCACACATTACAGTTTTTGTACTATCAGGAAAACCCAAGAAATCCAAATACAGCCATTGCTGGACTGCATGCGGGTAGTAAGGAAGTGGCAGCCAAAGATACAGAAGACCTTTATTCCTCAGATGTACATGTACTAAATGTCATCCAGTTAATATTTATATCTAACATCTTTTTTTTCTGATAAAAGTACCCATGCATGACAGGAGCATGGGCACACCAGTTATACAGAACTTGAACAAGGCTTCAAATTGAAGCTAAGTCACTCTCACTGTCTGCCTACAGTGCAATATATGTGCTTCTCTGCAGATTGCTGACACACACGCATTTCCCTAATGGGATGCCAGAGTATCAGAGCCTAGTAATAGCATGCTCAGCCACTTTTAGAACTGAAGGTGTGGGCAGGGACCTTGTTGCATCTGCTGTTTGTCAGTTTGAGTCTTTTTTAAATGCTGAAATAGGGAAAGGCTACTACCTTTTAAAGATAAAAATAGGTTTGCATATGCATAACAATTGTTATTTATGACATATAGCCATATGCGTATAGCATAGATTTATGGTTCAGCTCAAGATGTACAGTGCTGTCTGAAAGCATCTTCAATTGTTTACAGTAAGATTGAATCTTTGACTTCCTCTTGATTGCTCTTTTGATCTGTTGCCTTTTTGTTTTTAGGCTCGACAAGTGTTGGAAAAGGAATTCGGTAGTCTCATTTCGATGGGAACAGAGCGGCGATTGGATGAGGTCAGCAATGCACAACCACACACTAACTCCACATAGAGGTGAAACTCGAATAATTAGAATATCGTGCAAAAGTTAATTTATTTCACTAATGCAACTTAAAAGATGAAACTAATATATGAGATAGTATGTGTGTGGTGGCTCTTGATGCACTGACTCCAGCCTCAGTCCACTCCTTGTGAAAGTCCCCAACACTTTTGAATGGCCTTTTCCTGACAATCCTCTTCAGGCTGTGGTCATCCCTGCTGCTTGTGCACCTTTTTCTTCCACACTTTTCCCTTCCACATAACTTTCTATTAATGTGCTTTGATACAGCACTTTGGGAACATCCAACTTCTTTTGCAATTAACTTTTGAGGCTTTCCCTCCTTATGGAGGGTGTCAATGATGGTTTTCTGCACAACTGTCAGGTCAGCAGTCTTTCCCATGATTGTGATTCCTACTGAACCAGACTGAGAGACCATTTAAAGGCTCAGGAACCCTTTGCAGGTGTTATGGCTTAATTAGCTGATTGGAGTGGGACACTTTGAGCCTAGAATATTGCACCTTTTCACAATATTCTAATTTTCTGAGATTGTGGATTTGGGGTTTTCATGAGCTGTAAGCCATAATCATCACAATTATGACAAATCACGGCTTAAACTATCTTGCTTTGCATGTAATGAGTCTATCTCGTATATTAGTTTCACCTTTTAAGTTGCGTTAGTGAAATAAATGAACTTTTGCACGATATTCTAATTATTCGAGTTTCACCTGTATGTAAATATGTAATACTGTCAAAGAAGCAGACTTTTCAGCAACTATAGGATGTAGTTTAACTTTTGATTTATTTGTAATGCCCTCTAAGACTTCATCTTAAGATCTATCTTTTCCTTATTTAGTGCACACTCACTCCCAGCACAAAGTATGTTTTTCAATATTGCATTGCAGCTATTACATAAAAGTGTTTCATTTGGTGGTATGTTAATGTTTAGGTTGTGCTTCTGGAAACAATATGCAGCAAGAGAACAGTAGGGAAGGTTTGGACTTAGGTCTTCACTATTCATGTTGGAGTGTTCCCTGTATTATTATTTTTTCCATAATATAAAATAAAAATGCAGACAGAGGAGTGAAATCCCTCATAAGGGCAATGGAGATCTCTCTCTCTCTCTCTCTCTCTCTCTCTCTCTCTCTCTCACTGCAGTGTTGGTTCACTTTTTACTACTTTTAACTGTTTTTTTTTTCTTCATTTGCCTGCATTTTCTTTCTTTTTTTGTTTGTTTCTTTTGTCTGTCCCATGGGTATAGGCAACATCTATCCATAGGGTTGGATTCACAGAGCTCTGCAGTCTGGGTCTTTGTTTTTGCACATCAGCTACTAACAGCACCATTGCAGTCTGCAGCCTTTGCCTGCAGCGTATCAGCCTTTGTAAAACCTCCAGTTATTTGAGTACCAAATATGTGAGAGCCAGCACTTCAGTTATACCAGTAAGCAGCAAAAGGCCCACAAGGGGTTTCACAGACTTACCTTATGCCACAGCAAGAGGGGAAAATGGTCAGCATGGGGCCACGGTGAGTAGGTTCAAGCTTAGCCTTGAACCTTACCATTATTTTCCGACACACAGAGCCCACTATTTCAAAGAGACTAACTAGCTGAAGCGCAGCATAATTTACCCTGCATATGTGGCATGTTGACAGTGCTTGTTTGCCAGGATACATCAGAGGCACAATGCAGTATTGCCCCTGCAAAAAAAATACTTAATTGGGAGCTGTGGACTAGCTGCTGAAAAATTATGTGTGGTACCTTTGCAGTTGCCGAGCGTCGAAATAGGGCAGTAGAGGCAGCATTAGTTAGGCCAGCAGTGGTAGAACAAACTGTTAATGGTGGCAGGATTTGGTAGTTAAGGCAAGAGATGGTAACGGTGGAAGGCCAGCAGCAGTGGCAATCCAGCAGTGGTGGCATGCCAGCAGCAGTGGCAGGAGATGGTAATGCTGTAAGGTATAATAATGTTTGTTGGGCAAGTTTCCACAAAATAATGTATTTGTTACCATCAGCTGGACTACAAATCTCAGCAATACAGTATACAACAATGCAGAATAATACCACCAGCTAGAGAGGACTACAAATCCTAGCGTTACATTATACTACAATGCAAAATAGTATTTTAATTTGCTACATGCTCTATGCTGCCACTCTGCTCCAGGGTGCTGGCCTGATGTCTCTGGTGGAGGGTCTCAGCAGGGCAGATGTGGAGGATGGCAGCAGGGCAGATGTGGAGGATGGCAGCGGCTGGCACATTAGAAAACACACATTATTGGCCCTCCTATGCCACCTGAACGCAAAGGCTAGGAATAGCATGCTTGGTAATTGATTGCTATGTTGGTGAACAATCCCATTAGTTTCCCATTTTTACAAACTGTGAACAGCTAGAGTCCTGTTTAACTCATGGGCGAACTGAACCCGAAGCTCCTAGCACCCAACAGAAAAGTTAAGGTGCACACCAATGTTTTCAAACAACAAAGCAAAACAAAATGACTGGCACATTTTTACTGTTATTTATACATTGCTACTGCTGAACATGAGGTCATAAGAGTAAAACCTCTTTTTATTTCAGTTAATGAATATGTCCCAGACCTTCAAGACTTTTGTATTGCCTGCATGTTGTTCATTTACATGTCATATTATTGGTTTATCTCTGCCATGCTCTATATTGTTAATGTGTTCCAAAACTCTTCTTCTGAGTAAAATTAATTGTTTCTTGAATAGTCTTGTAATTCTTCTGAAACTATTCAAGACTAAATAAGTTGATCTCTTCTTTTTTAAAGGTGTAAGCTCTGACACTGACATTTTCATCCTTGCTTGACTACTTTGTGATTAACTAACGCTATGACAAGTATGAAGTAAATGATTTAAGAGTGCCTGATCTGCATAGTCGTTCCATCTATGCAGGGAAGCAAGAAAAGGGATACTGTCCCTAGAGCTTGCCCTTCTTAAAAGCAAGCTCCCATATTTCTGTAGTGAAAGGGTTCCCTTCACCTGTGCCCAAAATAGTGTACGTTAAAGTTTCTACAAACAGTAAAGAGCTTTAAAGCAAGCACTCACTTACCTCTCTAGATGCATGTACTGTAAGGTAAAGACTGTAAGGTCAGGTTGAAGTCTTCTAACTGTTTCTAACAACTTGAAAACACCTGGTGTTTGTTTACATTTTAAGGCTAGCAGGCAATCAAGATTGTGCTTTTCAGTGCTTTCTGTGATTTTAGTTCTTTTGTTGTAAACTCTGAAGATTAATTTCTCCAAAATGCTGTGGTGAGGGGAATCAATCAAGATTTGTTTAAACTCTCACTCCTTGTTCAGAATATGTAAATACTTTTTTGTGCATAGCATGTGCACAGGTTTACTTTAAGGTGCTGAAAGCCTCACTCTGATGTTGCCTGTCTGTGTTTCTAATAAATAGGATAGTGCTAAGACATTCAGCCGCTCTCCTTCTTGGAGGAAGATGTTCCGTGAGAAGGACCTTAGAGGAGTAAGTCCAGACTCTGCTGAAATGTTACCGGCGAACTTCCGGACTGCCGCTGTCTCCTCTATTACCTCACCTGCTGTGCAGCTACGCAAGATGCAGTCTGAAGGTACTGCCCATTACCTGCAAGAGGAAGTTGGGTTCACCATATAAAGACTACTATTACAAATATAAATTTGTTGTGTCCCTATAAATGGGTATTGTAGTGTTTTCAATGTTATATTTACGTATATATGTGAAAGGGATCAGCAGAATGTAAATCAATCTGTTAGTATTTAATACATCCAGTAGCCACCTTAGTAGGAACACCTGTCTAGTACCCATAAAGAAAAGGACATGGTCAGCTTTTATACTCAGGTGTACTGTAGTACTTAAATGATGCTCTCAGATGATAATAAGGTAAACCCCTAATATATGTGTATTGAATGAAGTTATGCATTCACAGGGCTTGAAAAATTTTAGGATGTCTCACCAGTCAGTCAAAAATTTCACCAGTCAACATGACCGGACTATAGCCTTGCAATTTATGTTAAGATTTTTTGGGGACAGATAGAACTTTCTTTTGGTGGTATTTAATCACCACTGGGAGATTTTATTTTTTACTATATAATGAAAAAAAAAGTTTCCCCTACGGTATGTTAAAAAACATTTATTCTTACCCATATTCTTGGTAAAATATAGGGTCACGTCGGGTAAATAGACACCAAACATGTGTAACTTTAAAATTGTCTGCGCCTGCAAAATCAAAAAGAAAAAACATTTAAAAGCTTTTACTGCTCATCAGTTTAGTTATTAATAGCCCTAAAATGATTGCCCTCATTCTGACTTTTGTGGTGATATGTAGCATGTGTGGCGCAATCACCATTTTCACGTGTAGGTCGCACCCGACACATGTTTGTATGTGGGGGCATGTTTGTGTGTGTATGTGGGGGCAGGGGACATACAAGCGCCGGACTGGTTGTATGTAAACCGGTATGTATGCGCTGCTACTTGTCCGGCTCCGCCGTCCTCTGGTCACAGACTAGAGGACGAGTAAGTAATTTGAAATGTAGCTATTGTAATGGAAGCACATCAAGGTGTCCTTTACTGTCTAGTCATAGGCAAGGGGTGAAGAGGTGACCAAGCTGTGTTGCTTAACTGCAGTAGACATAAGGCAGGTCACCAACCTGAATGTAAATAAACAGAAATACTAATATTTTGGCAGGTAAAACTATTCACATACATATTTCAACTGTGTATTTAGCAGTTTGCCTGGAGTCCGGCTTTAAAGTGTATCTAAACCCAAAAATAAACATTCCATATATTTTAGATCACCAGTCCTTAAATGTGGTGGTTGCATTAGTTTTCTCTTTTCAGTTTTTACCCTTTATTTTTACAGAGTGAAGGATTACATACACTTTAAGGGACCTAATGTGTGCCATGACAACATTTCCAAAATCATCAAACCAGTCCCATCCTCAACTATTGGATAAAGATATATCCATTTATCATGCTTGCAGCAAATTATGATCCTAGAGTTTGCATATTGTATTATATATTCAAAATTCCTCAGGCCAGGTCACATTTTTCAAATCTTGGTTCTCTAATATTGGTAATCATCTGCCCACTGTAGTTTAATTTCCTTATTCTCAGTTGACAGGTAGAACGCAATATGACATGTTGCATGCCAAATGTGGCTTTTATCCTTTGAACCTTCTTATAAACCAGGTGTGTTTTACCTATAAAACAGTTGCTCTCTGGATACGTTTGGCATTTCGCATCATTGTTTGTGGGTTTTAGAGACCTTAATAAAAGTAAACTTCATAGGGTCAGTAGTTTCTGAGATGCAACCACCGCATCTGGCACAAGTAGTCTTTCCAATGTCAAAGCTTTTAGAACACTCATTTTCTCCATTCTAAAATTAGTTTAAACAACAACTTGACGATGTCTGCAAACCTTACAGGGTTATTCACGAAAGGGTGAAGAGTTTGGAGAAGGCAGGAGAAGTGAACAATCTAGGACAGCATATCTGATTTGGGAAAAATCTCCAATTCAGCTCACTTTCCAGATCAGCTATGTTGTCCTAGATTTTTCACTTCCCTCCTGCCTTCTCCAAATCGTTCACACTTTTGTGAATAACCCTGTTAATGTTCAAATGAAGCTACAGGCAGTCCCCGGGTTACGAACGTCCAACTTACGGACAATCCGTACTTACGAACCGGGCCCACATTTCTCCTAAATGTACCGGCAGCCGGTACATTTAGGAGAACTGTGGCTGCAGCGGCCTGTGTCCCTTTAAATCTGTGCTGCTGTTCGCGTCTGTGTTGGCGGAGGCAGCGGGGACACAGACCGCTACATTGCGCCGCTGCCCCCAGTACCTCCGCTGCTGTCCTGGCCTCCTCTAACCCCCAGTCCGGTCCGTCGGCTTCTCTTCCCCGTTCCGGCCGATCTTCCGCTCCCCCGTCCAGCCGCGGTTCCTCTGCCCTGCCCCCCTGCCTCCTCTTCATCTGCAGGCTGGGAGCCATACCCAGCCTGCTATTGGATTTTGTAAAATGCAATAGCCAATAGCAAGCTGGCTATTGCACCCGCCCACTGCCTGCTGTCAATCAGCATGGTAGGACCTGATAGAGAACTTTCTCCTTCAGGCCCCTCCTCTGCTGATTGACAGTGGGCAGATTCAATAGCCAGCCTGCTATTGCAATTTGAAATATCCAATAGCAGGCTGGCTATTGCTCAGAACATTAAAAAAAAAAAAAAATACAAAACAATTTAAAAAAAAGTTAAATAAATAAAAATTTGAAATGCAAACAAATAAAAAAAGTTTATAAAATACAATTAAAAAGAGAAAAAAAAACTTTTTTTTAATTATATTATAATCTTCTGAACAACAAGAACAGACAGCAAAACAAACGTGACCCTTCCCTATGTTATCCAAAACTAAAAAAAAGTTTTTTTGGCTGGAGTTACACTTAAAAAATGTACATGTTCTGACTTGGATACAAATTCAACTGAAGTACAAACCTTCAGTCCCTATCTTGTATGTAACCGGGGGACTGCCTGTATTTAATTTGCTGTTTGAGTAATGAACAGGTGTTCCTTTTAAAACAGCTATTATGTGTATATATTGTATATGGAGCACATGTACATGAGGGAAGTCATATCTGATCACTACTTTTACAGGCTTTATTTTAAAGAACTGCACCTTGTTGTGCCTTTTTGATTTAATTACCTCACTACAAGGTTACCAGAGTCTCTAGCTGGAAACAATCAACCCTCCTGAGGTGGCTGCATTAATGTTTCTTTTTTTTCAGGCTTTTCTTTTTTAATTTTCACCTGGTTTGAATAACTCACCCTGGCTGGACTACAAATATATCTGCCATTCTTTAATCTACATTGCATGGGGCGGGATGATGTGTAGCTTAGAGAACAAAATAACATTATTTTAGTTGTCAGTTCAGCCTGAAAACAAATGCAGCCACCACATCTATGGACTGGTCTTTGGTTTAGTTAACCTTTTAAAGAAAACCAGTCGGGCAACGGCATTTTTGGGAATCTAAATTTCCATTTTCGCATTGCCCCACATAGGCTCGCTATTGGTGATGTTTCCAGAAAGGGTTTTCCTTTTTGAACATATTAAGATATGTTTTATAGTTAGTTTAGGTAAAATAGTGATAAATAAACTTTATTAAACAAAACGTTTTGTGAGGAGGATGGTGTGATAGATAGTGTGTAAAATCATTCCAACCCTTTTGCAGATATAGTGCCATTTTAGCCTCTTTGCTGACACCAGATCCTTACAAGTAGAATCATTACAACCAGGAAGGAGATTGCCATTGGAACTTAAGCTGGCTATACACCAGCAGAATTTTGTTTGAAAAAAATCACTTTTGGAACGTTCAGTTAATTTTTCAATAGTTAATGGCGTCAAATCAACTACTGTTGTTCTCAAACAGTGAATGTGGGTTTCCATTCTGGAAACTCCATTTATCCAAAATTGAATGTAAAAATCAAAAGAAATTTCAAACAACATATTCCAAGTGTCTTCTGGCATTATTTAATGTTCTGACAAGACTTTTCGTATGAATGTTTATGTTCAACCCGTGTATGGTTAGCTTTAGACCCCAGCCTATCTTCATCTCCCTCCACACAAAACAATATTGAAGTGTATCTATGATGAACATTAAAATTTATAAATAAACTTTTAATGGGTGGGCATCCTCACTATGAAAGAAATAATAGGAAAATCTATATTAAGGATCTATAGGGAACACGCTTAATTCATTTTAAGGAAGCATTGCTTTCCAATGCCTACCTGTGATGCCAGCTCTGACTGAGTCACTTAATATACAAATTTGTACTCTAAAGCTGCGAAGTTAGAGGTTTTGTTACCTCCCTTCTCTATTGATCAGTGAGACTTTGATATAACATAAGGAAACCTATGTTTTATTGTGAAAGGGAAAGAAAAGGCTTGCTTTATTGCCCCTTCGCCAGCAACATATACATTCCTTTGCTTTATCACTGATCCATTCAGCTACCGTGAGTAAAGAAAATATGCATTATTTTTTTTTTATAGAGGGGCATGTTACTTATGCATGTTACTTATGCCCCTTACTCTAGTGTCTGTGCTGCTGTTTGCCAATTGGCCCAACACTTTCACATGGCCCTGTGTAGGCTTCTACTAGAGTGACTCAAATCTTACACACAGATTTTTTCCTTGCCCCCCGGCAGCTGAATGGAGCAGGGGCTTTAAAACAAACCTGTTGCTTACTAACTACTTTGCAAAGCACAAGTTTGCTTTAAGGAAGCTGTAATGGGAAGTATCAGGATTCTGTAGGCTGGCTTGAAATTTGAACTTTCCATGTTTTGGGCCTGCAGGAAGATAACTAAAAATACTTGCTGGCACCTCTAGATAAGTTATATAGCATTTATAATGTGGTGTATTTAAATAACTTTAATTTGCATTTTCAGGAAGTCCCTCCAGCAGTCAGCGAGCAGACAATGTCTCAGTCAGAACCTATTCCTGTTAATACCGTGATAATGCGGTGAGTGGATGGTGTTTCCAGAGGTGTAATGACAGCATCTTAACTTAGAACTGTGATGCAGGAGAGTTAATTCCCACTGAAGTATTATTTCACAGTTTGTGTTTTGATTTTTCTATCTCCGATCTTTCTGAATTTAACAGAGTCATTTAGAGAGAATCTTATGTTCAGCTTCATCTGATGGTTGTTAATTTATATCTGAAATAATCTTTTATATACACACACACACACACACGAGAGAGAGAGAAAGAATATATTTATTAACATTATGTAGAATCCCTTTAAGGCCTTTTTTTTGTTATATAGACGAGTTTCACTTCTTGCATAATAGTGAACCCAGTGACGGTGCTTTGCTCCTTTCAGTGCATGTCTGTGGGTCATCTAGGAATCCACAATAACTCACTGGACACAATACAACCTAGTTTCTGAAACTGATGTAATATAAGCAACTGTTCAACAATATTGCTAATTGTACTGTCTGCAAAAGATATACACGTTTGTAAAGTTTTCTTCTAGTGGTTATGAATTACTGTAATGAAAATATACTGTAGAACAGCAAGCTTGTAAATTGTAAAAGTGGCATAAAAACTTACTCTATTGTGTCGAGAGACACAGGAACAGTGTATGTCCATGGGTTTTATAGCTCCACCTTCAGGTAAAATTAACTCTAGCACAATTAATGACTGGAGGCCAGCTCCTTGGGACTAGATAACTCCTCCGACACCAGCCAGGCACCATTCAGATTCATTCTAGTGCCCTCAGGTAAATGGGTGTCTGTTCTCAGCTCTTTTGTACAAGACTTTGTGGGGACTTCTTTATTCAACAGCTGCTAATTGAGCCATGCTGGACCTTTCTAGTCCTGGATAGTTTTTCCAGTTAGTCATTGAGCGCAGGCATTTCCAGATTGTATTGAGGGTGCTCTTTGGTAGTGATGGGGCGAAGAGGACCTGAGCTTGGTTCGAATTCTAATTTTAGAACATCCAAAAAGTTTGAACTCAAACTCAATGCAAGTCAATGGGGAGTAGAACTTTCAGAAACAATTGTCCTCTTTAAGAGGGCTTATATGCAAGTTATTGGTCATAAAAGGTGTATGGGAATAAGGGTACTGCCCTAGGGGACAGTAATCCATGGGAAAAAAAAACTTTTAAAAAAATACCGTTTTTAAAGGAGCAGTGGTTTTAACATCACTTAAAAGGTAACAATAAAAAATGAAAAAATCCTTTAAATATCATGCCTGGGGGCCCCCTTAAAATGGCTGTAAAGTGGCAAATCTGTATGATGTATAGAACCTGCTGCAGCAAAACTGACATGAAATGTTTCTTTTTTTTTATTCTTAAAGCGTGCAGTTTCCCCTCCCAAACAATACCAGACCCTTTAGGTCTGGTAGGAATATTAGGAGGGACCAAATTTAATAAGAAAAAGCGTGGGGGTTCCCCCCAAAAGTCATACCAGACCCTTAAGATCTGGTAGGAATATTTAGGAGGCATCCCGTGTAAAAAAACATAAACAATGTGTGGGGTTCCCCCTTAAAGTCATACCAGGCCCTTAGGGTCTGGTAGGAATTTTAAGGAGGAACTCCACCCCCAAAATGGGGGGGAAACGTGGGGTCCCCCCCAAATTCACCCAAATTCATTGATAGTGGGGATATGTGGGCAGGGGGCTTATTCACATCAGGGTACCCCTTTAATACAAGGGGCACCCAGATGCCACCCCCCCCCCTTGTGAATGAATAAGGGGTACTTGTACCCCTACCCATTCACTAAAGGGTTAAATAAAATTGTAAATAAAAAGTCCTGTTCAATTGTAAAGGAAAAAATCTTTTATTAAAAAAAATTGATCCACCGATGTAATCCAACGTCAATCACGACATCCAGCGTTGTCCACGACAACGACTCGACGAAATAAAAAATAAATAGAAATAATAATTTTTTAAAAACCCGACGACCGCCGTCCCATTCACTCGCGACGAACACCCGCCGCATGATGGCATTTTGACAGATGCAGGTACCATAAAAACATTTGGGCGGAGCTAGCAGAGACAGCGCTCTGCCCAACTGTTTACAGTTGAAACAGGGTGAGCCATGATTGGGCAGAGTCATCATCACTTTGCCCAATCATGGCTCTCACTGTTCTGTGCCCTAATTGGGCAAAGTCTTGCACCTGACCTGTGGTCAGGTGCAAGGCTTTAGCCAATCAGGCTCACAAGGCACAGCCGAACACCCTGACAGTTTGTGTGTATCCGAACACACAAACTGCCGATGTTTGAGTCGAGCTCACATTCGGCTCGAACATCGAGCCCAACCGTACTCTTGGGCAGTCCTGCAGTGTTTGTCAATGCAGGGCACCACTAGACGTACTTTCTACTGGGTTCTGCTACATGTGTATGACCACTCGGGCTGGGATGTCACTAGGGATGATACGATACCAAGTATTTGGGCGAGTATTCGTACTCACCCAAATGCTCCCGATGCTTATCCCTATACCGGAACTTCCGGAATGGAGCTGGCTCCCCGGCCAATCAGGAAGCCGGGGGGCGGGTAATGATTTGCTCTCCGGCTCCCTGATTGGTCTAGACCAATGGGCTTGTACATCAGGTGTTTTGAATGGGATCCCTTCGCCCCACCATCTCTGCAGTCTGTAGATTTCTTTTCTAGTTAATTATCAGTTGCCTGGTTGACCTTCTTTTGAGAAAGCAGTCTGTGCAGTATCTAAAATTCAATGTGTCCTTTTTCGGCAGGTGATTTATGAGTTCAATTGTGTCCTGAATCTGTGGAACTTCTCCTTACCCCACCAGATGTTGCTTAGTGTTTCTGGGTGTCATTCTGGATACCTTGTTTGCCTGAAGTGTTTATACCTTATGATTAAATGTTTGCTAAGGTCATGGTCTGTAAGCTCCACAGTCAAGCTCAGGTTTTTCTAAGGTTTTTTCATGTAGGTTAAGGTTTTTTCATGTAGGTTCTGGGTCTTATAAGGCCTCTTTCGAGGTGGTACCATTCGCTGAGTTTCACATGAAATGTCTGCAATTCAACATCCTCTTGATGTAGGACAGATTCCTGAGACTGAGATATCACTATCCTGTCATGGTGATGACTCTTCCTGGCAGTGACACCAGGCACTCCTTCCTTCCTTCCTTCCTCTGTGTTAAAAGGCAGGGACAATTGAGTTATTACCTGCCATCCCACTTCCTGATTGGCCAGGAATCCAGTTCCATCTTCCCTCACGGCACTACCGGTCAGAGGAAATCTCCCTCTGACTGGAAGTTCCGGTATTGGGGGTAAGTATGGGAGCATTTGGGCGAGTACGCATACTCGCCCAAATAGTTGGTATCGGCACCAATACCAATACAGTATCGGTGCATCCCTAATTTCTAACTTGTGAATGAAATGATGGAATGATTTAATACACTTATTAAATAAATTAAGTTTCTATATTATAACAAATACTGTGTCTGATGCCTCATAAGGCCCCTAAATCTTAAATTATTTTGGACATGAACTTTAATGGCATCCCAGTCTTAGTTCATAGGGCTCAATATTGAGTTGGCCCACCCTTTGCCGCTATAACAGCTTCAACTCTTCTGGGAAGGCTGTCCACAGGGTTTAGGAGTGCGTCTATGGGAATGTTTGACCATTCTTCCAGAAGCGCATTTGTGAGGTCAGGTACTGATGTTGGATGAGAAGGCCTGGCCGCAGTCTCCACTATCATTCATCCCAAAGGTGTTCTATTGGGTTGATGTCAGGACTCTGTGCAGGTCAGTCAAGTTCCTCCACCCCAAACCTGCTCATCCATGTCTTTATGGACCTTACTTTGTGCACTGGTGCACAGTCATGTTGGAACAGGAAGAGGAGATCCTTAAACGGTTTCCACAAAGTTGGGAGCATAAAATTGTCCAAAATGTCTTGGCATGCGGATGCCTTAAGAGTTCCCACTGGAACTAAGGGGTCAAGCCCAACCCCTAAAAAACAACCCCACACCATAATCTCCCCTCCACCAAACTTTACACTTGGCACAATGCAGTCAGGCAACTACCGTTCTCCTGGCAACCGCCAAACCCAGACACGTCCATCAGATTGCCACACAGAGAAGCGTGATTCGTCACTCCATATAACTCATCTCCACTTCTCTAGAGTCCAGTGGTGGCGTGCTTTATACCACTGCATCTGACGCTTTGCATTGCACTTGGTGATGTAAGGCTTGGATGCAGCTGCTCGGCCATGGAAACCCATTCCATGAAGCTCTCTACGCACTGTTGTTGTGCCAATCTGAAGGCCACACGAAGTTTGGAGGTCTGTAGCTATTGACTCTGCAGACAGTTCTGCGCACTGTGCGCTTCAGCATGCGCTGCTTCCACTTTGTTATTATACCACTAACAGTTGACCGCTGAATATTTAGTAGCAAGGAAATTTCACGGATGGACTTATTGCACAGGTGGCAACCTATCACGGTACCACGCTTGAATTCACTGAAAAATGTTTGTAGAAGCAGTCTGCATGCGTAGGTGCTTGATTTTATACACCTGTGGCCATGGAGGTGATTGGGACACCTGAATCCAATGATTTAGAGGGATGTCCCAATACTTTTGGCGATATAGTATATGTTGTTGGAGGGTCCGATCTGCCACCCTGCTTTTTGATTGTTGGCATGTTAAGGCCCAGGTACTGAGAGATTGCTGCTTTTTAGAATCTATCATCTTGACTATGCTATAGGCAGGTAAGGCTACCTCCTGGAGGATATACTGCCATACCTCGAAACCCGGTTTTATTTGGTGTGAGACCTACAAGCTTAATTTGTGTGGATTATGCATTGAACAGATCCTTGCATCTACTCTTCAGTCAGGTGTAAACCAGTGATTGACCATGAGTACAAACTAAGGTCAGATCTTGGCCTTGGGTTTTTTTTCAGAAGCTGTTGGTGACTATATCCTGGTTCGTGCCTCTATAAAAGGCATCACTTATATCACATCTCTGGTTGAATCTCTTCTCTGGCTATGGAGTCTGAACTTG